TGTTGGTGTTATTAATTATTATTATTATTATTATTATTATTATTATTATTATTATTTACTGGTTTTTTTTAAAGCTTTCTTTAGTTTCAATTATTTCTATGTGTGAGCGGTTGTATACATATGAGGGCCAATAACCTAAGAGGTCAGAAGGACAGAAGTTTTGGGTCCTCCTGGAACTGGAATTGCAGGGTTCCATAAGGAGCCAGATGTGAGTACTGGACACTCAACTCAGGTTTGGGAGAGGAGCATGTGTTCTTTTCTTTTTGTTCTTTTGTCAGATTAATTAGCAGTTTTATTTTTGGAGGAACCTCCATACTGATTTCTATAGTGACAGCCCCAAGTTTATACACCCACCAACAATCTATAAGTTTCCCCTTTCCCCACATCTCTGTCAGCATTTGTGTTCTTTCTTATTCCATTTTTTCTATAATTTTTTCTTTTTCTTTAATGGCATTTGTTCTTAACAGCTCATCTGTCATCTCTGCAGTCCCTAGTAGCTCTTTCTTTCTTTCATATATATATATGAAGTGATGGGTTCCATTATGGTATTTTGATGCATAGTTAGTTCCTATTGATCCTCATCCTCCTGGTCCCTTCCCAGTTGACTCACTTCTTTCTCAGGGCACGTGTACTCTATACCATCCTTTTAATTTTCCTCTTCCTTATTTTCCCCTCTGCACGGCCTCCTTTTTAATTTCATAATTATATATGAACATATATGGATTAGCTACCATATATAATATTTATTCTGTTACATCTATGTATAAGAGAGAAAATTCTCAGTATTTGTTTTTATTAGCCTGGGATGCTTCACTTAATGTAATATTTTTATGTTTATTGCTATTTTATTTACAATAACTAAGAAGTGGAATCGATTTTGTCTCTCAGTAGTTAAACAGATGAAGAAAATATGATATAATGGGATCTGCTTCAGTTGCAAAGCTAAAGGAAATCATGACATTTGGAGGGAAATAGTCAGAGCTGTAAAATTTGTAGGGAAGTGTAACTTTTCCTTGCATCCTGTATCTCTCTAATAGGTTCCGGGAAGGGAAGACAGGCTCACATCCCTTACCAGTGGAAGCCTGGAACAGTGTTCAGTGCTGAGTCGTAGGATGTTCGATGTTTGCTGACTGAAATAAGAGTTGATTGCATAAATGAGAGGGACTTAAAAATGCTGCTTCTCATTCATCCTTTTAGCTGATGGGAATCATTTAGGAACAGCTATGGCAGGTAGAAGACACACCTGCTCCTGTTAGCAATTGTATAAGGATTAACTTTAAAAACAACACTTTTGAATTTAGAACCACATGCCCTAACTCTACAGACGACTTCAAATAACACAAAGTATACACGGATATGAATGTGCTGGGACAGAGCTAGTACTCCATCGGGATCCCTGAAGATGGCTCTCAGGTCTACAAATCAGTGTTTTGGAAATAATCCTATGTGGAGCGTAAAACCCCTTTCCCGTAGTTTGGAGTGCTATTTGTACTCCTAAAAACCTGAGTTTGACTAATGACAGCTTACGGTGGAGGAGAGGAGGGAGGGAAACCGAAGCCAGGATGTAAGATAACTGAAGAAATTTAATTAATAAAAAAATAAACTTGAGTTTTTATAAAAGCCCATGTGAAAAAAATCATACTTCTAGGGACCATCATTCAAAACTATTAAAGACAAGATGTGAATTTTGGCATAAGCTTTCCAGTGCACCACTCAGATTCAGGGTGAATTTCAAAGGAGATGCTAAACTCCAGAGGCCCCCCAAAAGTCTAAAATACAAAAATACAAATTAGACTAGTTTCTACTTCCTTCTTCCCTTTCTTTGAGACATGCTCAGGTTTTCTTTGTATGACATTTTCTTAGCTTTTGTGAATATTCCTTGACACTTCTAATATCTCATAAGGCTGCAAGCATTTCCCTATAATTTTTTACTTGTCCTTTGATCTTTTATGTTTCAATTACTTTAACTAATATATAAAAATCATACCTTGTAACGGGTTGTCATATGACTTTTGATACATGTATGCATTGAATGATAGCAAATGAAATTAAATGCATTTATCACCTTAAATGGTCATCAATTCCTTATAGAGAAACTTTCAAAATCTTTTTGCAAGCCTTTTGAAATGACAATATAGTGTCATTATTTGTGGTTATCCCTATATGCTATCCAACATCAGGAGCTACTCCTATCTCACTGTGACTTAGTATCCACTGATCCCTCCCTCCCCATCCCTTCTGATACCCAACTATGCTAGTTCAAATGAGAAAAATCCTCCCATAGGCTCAAGTAATTGATCACTCATAGCCAGATAGTCATGCTGTTTATGGAGTTGGTCCAACGTTGCTAGAGGAACTACATCAGTGAGGGCCTGCATCGAGAGTTCATAGCCTTGCCCACTTCCAGTTTATTCTGTTTCTTTTTTGCAGTTGAGTAGATCCTCTCCTGGCTCCCTATTCTAGCCACCTGCTACCATGCCCCTGCCCCCACCACCATTATGGGCTCTGGAACTGTAAGTCCAAATAAACTTTGTCTTCCATGGTGTCATGGTGTCTTTTGACAGCAATGAAATGTAACTAATACATCTCTCTTGGACTCTCATAACCACTATTCTACTCCCATGGACTATCCCTTACTTCCAGATAAAAGTATGGAGCTATATAACCCTGCCTTCATAAAGCAATAACCAAGATACACTAGACATTTTGGTAACAAAAAATAGTCATATTGGGAAAGAGGTTTTGCTTTTGTTTCCACAGGAGAAGAAAAGGTATGGATACCTACCATAAAAACTGGTAAAGCTTAGATTCCAACAGGAGAGACCTCTTGATTAGAGGAGGTAATAATTCATCAAACAGTATGGCCATGAAATCTAAACTAACTTTTAAGACTAACAAATGCCTTTCACAGGGTTCTGTTTTTGTTTTTCCAAGAGAATTAAGGCATCTAACTAAGGAATCTGAAGACACACCAAGTTGTCAAGACACCCTTTAGACAATATTGTTTTACATGTACAATAATATAGATATAGATAGGTAAATATAAATATAGATATCTTGAGGACTCTTGTCTAAGCAAACTTTGTGTGTCTAATCGGAAGCCAGGCTAAGGATATTGAATGTACTCTAATGGGTTTCTGATCCCCACATTTGCAAGACTTCTACCCTCATGAATGTCAAGTAGAATATGCCAGAACAATAAAAACAAATTCAGGCACAGAAAGCATTTTCATTTTCCATATAAAACAGGCATCTGCCTTTTCCCATGCTGAGTCTGCAGGGCAGCTTATTTACAAATATATAAATAGCTGCAACTTTACTCCAGGCCCATTGAAAAATCAAAACGGCATCATGCAAGAGAAGCACCCTAGCATAGTTGGCTCCATGAGGAAAATGTAAGTGGAGATGAGCCAAGCGACTTGACACTTGCTGGTCAGCTTAACCAGACACCCTCCAGTTTCCTGTCATGGAGGAACCCAGGGTTATGCTCTGCAGAGTCAGGTAATTCGCTTTCATTGATTGTCCAGAGACTGGGGAGTGATTTAGAGCCAAAGGTTGAAAAGCAAACTTCAATTCATTGGTAATCCGATGGGCTCAAAGGGAGATCACCTCATAGTGGCAGTACTTTTAAAATCAGCTTATTCTGCTTTCGGGAAAGTCCTGTGAATTTAGAATGACTCACTCTAGTCAATTCTTTCGCATATTGCCAGACTTACAGGGATTTAAGTCAACAGGAGAAAAGAAGTAAGAAAAATAGTGCATCTTAATGTTTGAACAGAATGTATTGCCTTTTCTAAATTTATTAAGAAACATTATGTGCCACGAATTAATCCCTCTCCCTCCCTTCCTCCCTCCCTAGACACACACACACACACACACACACACACACACACACACACACACACTAGCATGTATCTTGCTTGTCCTTACAGCGTATGCATACCCAAGCATGGAAGTGCGGGGCTGTCCTCAGTGTCTCCTCATGAGGTCACCTGAACAGCTATACCTTATGGCACCTAATGACAATCACTCCTTATATATACCTGCAATATCAAATCACGCTCTTCCTTAACATCTTTGTTTCTCATCAATGAATGAACAGAAGAATGCCATTAAATTAAAGTCTTCCAAAGCATCACAAAACAGGAAGTTTAAAAGGAACATTTTACCAGGAAGTGGTGGTGCCCGCCTTTAACCCCAGCACTCAGGAGGCAGAGGCAGGCGGATCTCTGTGAGTTCAAGGCCAGCCTGGTCTACAAGAGCTAGTTCTAAGATAGGCTCCAAAACTACAGCGAAACCCTATCTTGAAAAACTAAAAAGAAAAGAAAAGAAGCATTTCCAGAAGGGAAAACGAATTATGAACTTAGTCTGTGTCTAGAATCTGAGGACAGACAACAAGATGCATAGACGCGTGTCGAAAGTGAGAGCACTCATGCCTGCTGTAGCCACTTTCTCACAAAGACATCTGGGCTGAATGTTAAACCCAGGATGGCTGTACTGCTTATTCACAGCACTGCATTGATACACAAGGATGTTCAAGTTTGAGCCAACATAGAAATGCCAAAAAACCAAACTGCAAACCAATTTCTCATCACTTCCAGCGCTATTCAGTATTTAGAGGAAGCACCCACAAATAAACTGTTATTTTAATTCCCCACAAAGCATAGTATATAGGAATAAAGGCAGTAGCCATCTTTTGTCTCTAGATCTATATTGAGCCTTATGTTTCAAAGTTCACTTTTTAAATTACTTTTAAATTTATGTCTACTTTAAATGCCAACAAGATTACTCCAAAAGTATATGTAATTTTCTGAAGACTTTCTGCATGTATACAAAAGATTGGATTGCAGAATTTTATCAATAACAAATACATAAGCCGTATATTCATTACAGCATTGAGGGGCACAACTGAGCTTTTATATTTTTGAGCAAGAATTTGGAATATCCTTAGAAAATATTTTTTTACTATTGTTGAAATGAAAACGAATTAGTTTACTCACCCAGTGTCTCTGAGAAGAAGGGCACTTCCCAATTTGAAACAGGTTTTATCACCTTCGCAAAATGTACGCCTCAAAGCAAAACTCTCTCCCAGATCAAAGCCTGTAAAACGTCACACGCTGTTAAACCCAGCAATAAACTCGCAGACAGATTGATTTTCTTTAAAACAGGAACTTGTTATCACATCTACAGGTTGATTGATTTAAAATAAAATCCTTCTGTTTGAAATCAACAAATATGCTTGATTTCTTTTTTGTTCATTTTCCTTTTAGGGTACAGGAGAATAAAATCCTCTTGCCTAAAGGGACATGGCTATCTTTCTGAAGAACAGTTCATAAGTAGAGGTCTCTCTGGCTTCATCCAGCCTGATTGCACAACCCTCCCACCTCAGCCTGCCCAGTGCAAGAGCATACTGGATGGGTGCAAGCGTGCCCCTCCACTGTTGCTTCTCACAGGTGTTTCAAAGGAATACAATATCGCTTCACTTTAGTTTAGGAGTTGACCTAAACAAATTGTTATGGTAGTTCATTGTACCCTCTCTGAAGTATAAAGAGAGCATTAGCCAGAATAAAAATCATAGCCATTCTTTTCGAATCTAAACAGCGTCTTACAAAAGTACGCTTTAGGGGAATTATACAGATGTTTCTAATTCAAGTGTGATCTATGTGTTATTATCATGTACATGTGAGAGAGTTGAGGACACACAGAAAGAGAATATGGAAAGGAAAGGGAGGAAGGAAATCAAAAATAGGAATGTTGACTGGGTTGGTAGAACAGGCCTATGATACATTTTTGAGACTGAAGTAGCGGAAACTTGAGTTTGAAGCCAGCCTGGGCTACACAGGGAGATCCTGTATAAAACAAAGAAAAAAAGAAGCAACAATAACAACAAAGCCAGCAAAGGCAACATTAATAGCAAAAGAAAGTGTAAGGAAAAAAAACATAAAAATGTTACACCAACACAGTGTGTAGATTATGACTACATCTGGGTGCTATAACATTGGCTCGATATTCTTTCCTCTTTTAAAAATTACAACAGAAGTCACAACTTTTGTGATTTTTCCATAGCGTTGGTTCTCCACCAAGGTGAGGTGTTGTTACCTGAGATTAAACAATTTAGAACTCTGCTGATAGGATTTCACCTGCAGCAATATAAGACATCTGAATGTCTTATATTGGGAAAGGAGCAGGCTGGCCCACCTAGGCAAGACTTCTGGTTAGGAGGATAAAATCTCTGGCTTGATGGAGACCTAACACGCCATCTGGGCAGGGTCAGTGAGCTGGCTGCGGAGCCACCTCTAGGATGGGGATGGGGTGAGGTGGAGGGGGATGGCCTTAAGTATTTTAGCCTCCCTGAACTCCCACTCCCCAGAGCAGTCTCGTATAGGGCTGCATCCACACAGTGTGCAGTCACTACGGATGGACACTTGCACAAAGTGCTGCTCAACAAAGGATGCTCACCTGAAACCTGAAGTTTGCTTCTGTCATCCTGATATTCTTCCGTCCTCAGAATCGGGCAGGTACTTTCTATTTAAAAGACAAGCATAGATTATTTGAACTAAAATTTCCATCCTACTTTCTCCAAATAAAGTTCAATGCTTCTGTATAATCAAAAACAAGATAACAATGAAAATAAAAATAAACGGAACTACCTTATTAAATTTCTATAAGGTAAGGATGAAGATCCACATCCCACAGTATATCTATGAAAATTTAATGTTATATCTATAAAAAATAGAATATTACCTGGCCCATGGTGAGAACACAGTGATGCTGGCTATTATTATCACTATTACCCAAACATCATGTAAGTAAACAGGATTTACTTAACTTTCATGGCTTTATTGAACAATTAAATTCAGTGCATATTCTCTCAAATAAACAAGTGAATTATTGCCATATTTTTATCATAATTTTATTCATATTTTATCTGATGATCCTAAGCCTTTATAACAGAAGGGGACATGAATGGAACAAGTTAAATAAAATTAGAAAGCAAAGAAATTTCTATATGATAAAGCTGAGGAAGTTAATACTTTATAAGTTTGTTCATAATACTCATGGATATATATATAAAGTTAATCTCTACTCGGCGAGTTTACATGTCCAATAAAACTACATCATAATGTATATGCATATATTAGTCTTTGAAGTAATATGTTGAACTCTAACTCAGACTATAACCACAAATGAGGTAATGCTGCCAAAACTGCAAGCCATTTTTCAGGTCATGCCACTACACAACAATACAGCTACACTCTTAAACTAAGTGCATCAAACCTTTTACATTGTATCATCACAGGTTCGGTTCTCCACATCAAAAATTTGTGTTTGAGTTTCATGTCTTAAAGGTCATAGTATGGAAAGGAAATAAACCATTGATGGCAAACTGACCATCTACTGGGCTGAAGGTGACAGCCTCTGATTTTCCAGTTAATGTCTGACTGCCTCAGCCCTTCGTTTGACAAGAGCACCTCATAGCTAGAGCTGTGGCCAGGAGTCAGTGTAGCACATTTAACTTAGAAGAGCCTCAGAGTCTAAGTGATGCTGTCACATCATTGGCAAGGAAGAAGCAAATAACATATTTTTTCTGAATGTCAATTAGAATCCCAATTTCAATAGATCGGGATGTGTGTGTGTGTGTGTGTGTGTGTGTGTGTGTGTGTGTGTGTTTGAAAACTAACAAGTTTATTGTCTGGTTTAAATGGAAAAGCAAAGATAGCAAAAGGCAAAGTTGAACAATAACTTGGAGACAAACCATGAGATGTAAGGAATCCTTGTAACATGGCTTCAGTGTACATATAGAAAGACATCCATCAAACAGAATAGAAGGTCTAAATGCAGACCCTTCACATGTGGCTCCATTTACTGCAAAAACTACTGAAATTCAGTTGGAAATGGAGGATCTTTTAGTCAGTAGGGTCTGGTATTAGATAGTGATACAGGAAAATACCACAGAAATTGAAGAAAATTATAAATGTGAAAAGAAAACATAAAGCAGGTTTAGTAAAGCATAGAGCTTGGTGAACCTGGAGAAGCAAAGAGCTCTGGAGAGAGACAAAGCATTGCTGTCAAAAGAAACTATTGATAAATGGGGTTTCATCAGCTAAAAGCATGTATTAATCAAAAGATCAGAAGTGTGAGAAGACAAGCCAGAGAATAGGAGAGGGTATTTACAAGAGAAGCATCTTAGAGAAGGCAACCACACATAAGGAGAAAATATCCCATGAAGTACTGAATTCAGAACAAGCTCTGAGCTCCCACAAATGAGCAAAACATGAAAAAGTTTATGTCTAATACACTCTAAACTTTTTAAGCACTTTCCAAAATGGAATATGCAAATTACCAACTCACATATTCCAAGGGGTGTCACCCCATCAGTAATCAGAAATGTAGAGGAAACCACTGAGCGTCCATTAAATGACCAAAATTAAAGAACTGTCACTCCAAGTGTTGATGAGACTGGGACAAATGGCAAACACTTTCAGCTCGTCCACATTGCTTGTGGGGGCCGAGAGTGGTGCAGCCACTTGGGAAAACCCTCTGACAGTGTTTACTGAAGCTAGCGATGCATGAACTCCAAGAGAAACTCAGTGATCCAAGAGACAGGAGAGCAAAACAGAAATGGAAATGACCTTTTAGATAAGAATGCCTATGTTATCATTACTCATAGAGTTACAACCTAAAAGTTCATTAAGAGGACATACTGCAAAATAAATAATGAAAAAACTGGACAACAGTTTAAAAAGAAAGATTTAGTTTGATACATTGAAATGTTTGGCTATTAGAGGCAAAGTAAGTGAGGGAATGTCATCCCCCTAAATATATACTACCTATATTCCATTTATGTGATAATTACAAAGCCAATCTCTGTTAGAGAAGTGATTACCATAGAGGGGGTATCACCTCAGAGCAAGTACACAGAAATCTTTTAGAATCCAGGAAACACTTTATGATTCTATTTGAGTGATAATTACATTAGTGTACATATAAAAGTAAAAATTCAGTATATTGTGCTTTTAACATTTACTGACTTTATTTAGACTATATAAACAAAATCTCAACACAAGGAGGAAAGTAGTAGCTCTCTTGAGAAAATATTTTAATCTAAAAGTAGCTCTAAAATTTAAGTGATTAAAATATCCCAATAAAAATGTCTATTGACTATTAATGTCTATATGGCAATATGCCATAAGAGGAACCTTGCGTTCTTCATAGGCACATAGAGGAAAGATGCAGTGTGTGATTGGCAGAAGGAATCTCTGGGCAGCAGAAGGGCTTCCCCACAGGGAGACTTGGGAAGGTAGGGGGAAGTATGTGGCCTGTTTCCAGTAGGAAACTGTAAATCTCATTTCAATTCTTCCTAGGGAATATATGTTGATGTCAACAGAATAAACACATTGCTTTGGAATAAATGAGATTCAACATTCCCAGCAATATGTATGTATTTCCCCACTAAAAGTATTTCATTTATAAAACATTAATGCTGTTTCCTACCTTTAAAACACATGCTTTGTTGTGAACAGCTGAACAAAACAAATTAAAACTAAGTGTTTTAAGATTTCAGGGATAATAAGATAAATTCACGAAGATATATGAATTCATTGCATAAAAATGAGGAAAGAAGTAGTGTTATTGCCTATCATAAGCTAGCAATGCTAATCAATTTAAATAGTGACATATACATTATAATATAAAACAGTAGAAGTAACACTATCACAAGTTGGGCATGTTAATTTATTCAAATATAAACATATAAACATACAGGTGTATTTTAATTTTAATATATCTTTAGACTTATGCCTAAGATTCAAATGTTTTCTTAGGCAAACAAGACCAAGCACAGCAACTCTGTCCCTCAGAGGCTCTCAGGAGTATTTCAGAACAATGAATCCCATCTTTCTATGGATGATGCATTGCTTGCCGAACTCAACAGCTTTTCAAAAGCAAATAAAAGTAGCTTTAACCAATGCACGCTAAAGTGTTAATGTTAATGATTGTCAGGCTTCATTTTTTCTTTTACATGACTTGAAAGACCTGGGCAGTCTTCAGGATAGATGGGGCACTGAAAGGAGCCACAGTAAACAAAAGGGAAGTCATCTAGCTCAGCTTAGCATATGCCATGACTTGATTGAATAACATCTTTTAACACTCTTGTTTCCTGGTCATCTGAAAGAATCATCCTAGAAAAATAGGTCGTGCAGCTACTCAATGAGAGAGTAGAGAAAAACACATTTCCTACAAACCAACTTTCTCTCGTTCTGTATTGAACATCTCTCAAAAGCATATTTTAAACAAAATAATGACAACCTAAGAAACTCTTTCCATTCTTTTTTACATATATATGATTTTTTTTCAAGACAGGACTTCTCTGTAGCTTTGGAGCTTGTCTTGGAATTTGCTCTGTAGAGAAGGCTGGTCTCGAACTCATATACATCCACCTGTCTCTGCCTCCAGAGTGCTGGGATTAAAGGTGTGTGCTACCACCACCCAGATTGGGCTGGAGAAATGGCTTAGCCATTAAAGGCTAGGCTCACAACCAAAAATGTAAGACCCTTTTCATTCTTTAATGAAATGTATTTGTTCCCATCATCTGTTTTAGCTATGTACTTAAGAAATGAATCCCCTTTCACACATACACACGAACAGATCTAATCTATTAGTTCTGGTCCTCATTTTACCAGTAGGCATGACCTATTAGATCTTGGGACTGGTTTACTTTTCCTCTTAAAGACATTTTAAAATATATGTGTGTATTTGAGTGGTTTGACTGTGTGTATGTATCTGTACTACATGAATGCAGTACTCTCAGAAGCCAGAAGAGGGCACTGAATGTCATGGTACTAAAGTCACAGGCTGCTCTTAGCCTGTCATGAAGGTACTGGGAATTGAACCCAGATCCTCTGATAGATCAGTGAGTGCTCTCTTAACCACTGACCCATCTCTCCAGCATCATAAGAATGTTTTTAATGATGCACAGAAACATTGAAAGTATGTATAGCAATATGGTTATAAGAAAGGATCTTTGGACAAGATCCCTAAAACACATAAAACAAAAACAAACAGCACTTTGGGTCAAAAAAAAAAAAAGTTTGCACATCTTAAATACATGCTCGCTCCAATGATACAGAGTTTTCTACTCTGAACGATGTGAATTTACATTTTATTATGGTATTCACTAAAATACTTGACATGTTGAAAATCTCCTTTCACCTTTTTTTTTCTTTTATATTTTCGGTGTCCTCTTGCTTCTCATATCTAAGACCAGCTAAAATCTATTGTTTCAAGTTTGTCTTTTCAACTGATTAACATCTAAGCAGTCTGTGTTTGTTTACTGGTGGTCATGCCAAATATGAACTAGGAAACTTTGTGAGTCCAGCTTAGGAAAAGCAAAAGGTGAATTCATTTTTGTATATACTAAGGCAAAGGGGAAAACTGAATTTTCAGAGTCATGAAAAATTAAGGCCAGCGTGTTCTGTTAGACCTTTTCAGTTGACAGACAGGCCTTTGCATCACTTACAGAACAC